ACTCACCTCAGCCTCCCAAAGGCGCAGGATTACAGGCTGAGCCACCGAGCCCGGCACCTCTTTCCCTTTTAATGTTACATTTGTCAAGTTTCTTTTCTTTTGAACCTTGGGGAATGGAGACCAGCAGGTCATTGTCTTTTGGGTGGAGGTTCTGATGATTTTAATTACTGAAATAAGTAGCTACCTTGTGTGCACGTATTCATATTAGACAGCAAAGTATTCATCCTGAGAAAATTTGCAGATATGAATAAAAATAAATATTTCTTTTATTTACTTACTTATTTTTGTGTCAGGGTCTAGGCTGGAGTGCAGTGGCACGATCATGACTCACTGCAGCCTTGAACTCCTGGGCTCAAGTAAGCCTCCCACCTCAGCCTCCTGAGTAGCTGTACCACCTCACCCGGCTAGTTTTAGGATTCTTTTTTTTTTTTTGTAGAGATGAGCTCTTGCTATGTTGCCTAGGCTGGTCTCAAACTCTTGGGCTCAAGTAATCCTCCTGCTTTGGCCTCCTCCCAAAGTGCTGGAATTATAGGCATGAGTCACTGTGCCCAGCCAAAGTATTCTACCAGGTTTTTTTTTTCTTCCTTTTTTTTTTGAGTCAGGTTTTCACTCTGTCACCCATGCTGGAGTATCATGGTACAATTCTTTTATTTTTATTTTTTTTTGAGTTGGAGTCTCACTCTGTCACCCAGACTGGAGTGCAGTGGCCGCTCTCGGCCACCGCAGCCTCGACCTGCTGGGCTCCGGCGATCCTTCCGCCTCAGCCTTCCAAGTAGCTGGAACTACAGGCGCACGCTACCACGCCCAGCTAATTTTTGATTTATTGTAGAGATGAGGTCTCGCCAAGTTGCCCAGGCGGGTCTCGAACCCGGCAATCCACTCACCTCAGCTTCCCAAAGTCGCGGGATTACAGGCTGAGCCACCGAGCCTGGCTCATGGTACAATTCTGACTCACCCCATACCCTAGGAGGTGCTCCTACCTCAGCCTCCTGAGTAACTGGGACTACAGGTGTGCCCCACAATGTCTGGCTAATTGTGTGTGTGTGTGTGTGTGTGTGTGTGTGTGTGTGTGTGTGTGTGTGTGTGTGTGTGTGTTGTGTTTTGTAGAGACATGGTCTCACTATGTTGCCTACGCTGGTCTTGAACTCCTGGGCTCAAGCAATCCTCTCTCAGCCTCCTGAGTAACTAGGACTACAAGCACACACCACCATGCCTGGCTAATTGTGTGTGTGTGTGTGTGATTTATTGTAGAGACAAGGTCTCACCACATTGCCCACGCTGGTCTTGAACCTGCAACCTCAGGCAGTCCTCTCACCTCAGCATCCCAAAGTGCTGGGATTACAGGCTGAGCCACCGAACCTGACCAGCACTTAAGTTCCTGCCTCTACTCTGTTCTGCACTTCTACCCTCTGAAATACTTTTCCATATTTTCTGCTAATCTAAAATATATTCTTCCTTTCCCAGCTTACAGTCTACGTTTTTTGTTGAAAACTTCCTCAGGTCCTCAGTCCACAGTGATCTCTTTCCCCTTTAAACTCTTAAAAAACATTTTTGGTCTGAACAGTGCTACTAATTTGGCAATGATTCCTATCTGGTGTGTGACTTGTTTTGCTTGTGTTTTTATGCTTTATGGTGACCAAGACAAGGGAGGTAATAGCAATGGTCAGATCAGATCTGGAATTTTGTGTTCAACTGTGATATTTCCACATATTGAGAAACTGGATTATCTTTAAAAGAGAATGCTTAGAATAATGAAGGGTATAGGAACCATTTGAGGAACATGGGAAGTTTAATTTAGTTCTGAGAAGATTTTAAGAGGGAAAGGATCATAATAGTAGATGAAAATTGTTTTAAAAACTGCCATGTGGAAGATCATCTTGTTGCACCAGAGGACAGGACTGGGACAACTGTAGATCAATGGTTGAAAATGACAGGAAATTGGATTTTAGCTTGACATAAAGAAGAACTTTAGCAGTTAGGATTGTTCTTAACAAATAGAATAGACTACTTATGAGGATTCTTTTGACATTGTGAACAGAGATTGAATGAATGGTAAGGGTGTTCTAAAAGAGATGTCAACCGTTGGGTAAGTGAGTAGACTTGAATTTTTTTGAGTTGGAGTCTCACTCTGTCACCCAGGCTGGAGTGCAGTGGTACACTCCCGGCCACCGCAGCCTCGACCTGCTGCTGGGCTCCTGGGCTCTGGCGATCCTTTCGCCTCAACCTTCCAAGTAGCTGGAACTACAGGCAAGTGCTACCACACCCGGCTAATTTTTTTTATTTATTGTAGAGATGAGGTTTTACCAAGTTGCCCAGGCAGGTCTTGAAACCGCGGGCTCAGGCAATTCACTCACCTCGGCCTCCCAAAGCGCTGGATTATAGGCTGAGCCACCGAGCCCGACCTAGACTTGAATTTTTAAGAAACCATCCTTGGCCGGGTGTGGTGTCTCAAGCCTATAATCCCAGCACTTTGGGAGGTGAGAGGATTGCCTGAGCCCACGGGTTCGCAACCAGCCTGGGCAACATAGTGAGACCTCCTCTCTACAATAAATCAAAAAATTAACTGGACGTGATAGCGTGTGCCTGTAGTTTCGGCTACTTGGAAGGCTGAGGCGGAGGAATCGCCTGAGCCAGCACGTTGAGGCTGTGGTGGCCGTGAGCGTGCCACTGTACTCCAGTCTGGGTGACAGAATGAGACCTCAACTCAAAAAGAAAAAAAAGAAAAAGAAACCACCTTTTATAGAATTCACATAGCCTTTCTTTTAGATATTTTCTGCTGGGCATGGTGGCTCATACCTGTAATCCTAGCACTTTGGGAGGCTGGGACTGGAGAATTCCCTGAGCCCAGGAGTTCGAGACCAGCCTGGACAATATGGCGAGACCTCCTCTGTAAAATAAATTTTAAAAAATAGCCAAATTTGTTGGGGCGCGCCTTTAGTTTCAGCTGCTTTGAAGGTTAAGGCAGAAGGATCGCAGGAGCCCAGCAGATTGAGGCCACGGTAGCTATGAGCATGCCACTGTACTCAGCCTGGGCAGCAGCAGAGTGAGACTCTGACTCGAAAGAAAACCAAAACAAATAAATATTTCCTTAAGTATATTTCTTTCTTTAACATGTTTTGGAACAACTTTACTCATAGTACTTGTAATTTTTTGCTTCCATAGGAACCAGTACCACATGGACTACTCCAGTAAACTAAAGGATTTTCTTTAACTTCATTGTCTTGGTGTTCATGACCAAGTTTCTCAA